TATTTAATCTGAGTCTTAAAGAAATGCTATTATTCTAGGTTAATTTAAAGTAAGCTAGATTTGGTCTCCAGATATTCAATAAGGGGATTGACACAGGGTCATCCTCTGAAGAGCCCGGGCATTTCTATGGCAGTAAGATAGCAACGAGATGGGAAAGATCAGGTGATTCTAATGGGGGTGAGCATGAACAAGAATAATCACCCATTACTGTGGCTGACAGGCTGGAACAGGCCACGTGGGACAGGCCACCGTAGGCAGCGAGAGCACAGCCACCATGCAGTGCAGTCGAGTCCAAAGCATCAATGTTTTTCCTTAATTCCAGGATTACATTTTTGCGCCTCCGTGTGTGGACATGACCCCCCAGTCACCTGTGCCAATACCCCATCGGCTCCCTCCCTGACTCTCTTCCTCTTTCTCCCCACTTCCTTCCCTCTGGTAACCATGAAATCCTCTCACTAAATTATCCAAGGTTTATTCCTGCTGTACTTTGCTTGTGTAAAAAGCATAATATTAATTACAGAGGGCAGCAAATTCAGGTGGAGAGGGGATGAAGGACATTTGAGAAGGGTGCTCAGCAGCCGTCCAGGGATTTTTGGGGCGCTCTAATTTGCCGGCACTTGATAAGCATTTGGCAGTGGCCACTCACTCCCAGGGTTTCAAGGAACAGGCTCAGGGGCAAAACAACTGCCTTCACCTGGCAAAGGAGCTGAAGCTCCGTCTTGACAGTTGCTTTATCTGAGCCACACAAAGTTCAGGTGACCTCAGCGGCAAAGGAGGAAGGTACATACCTGTGCATTCCAGCTCTCAGGGAGGCAGAGTAACGCCAATCAGGGTTGGGCTGTCGAGGCTGCAAAATCACAAAGAAGCCTTGGTTACTATAGCAAAGCAGAGTCCTCCCAAGGAGAATGGTAATTAACTCATCAGTTATTTCTTAACTATTTCTATGCAACTGAAAACAAGGATTGTAGGCGCTGTTTCACGCGCCACCCAAGACGATGCCACCCACCTCTCGCTTTACTGCGCTTCACTTTACAGTACCTGTATTTTTACAAACCGAAGGTTTGTGGCCCCGTGGCACAGAGCAAGCCTACCAGCCCCATTCTTCCAGCAGCACGCGTTCAACTTCTCGTTTCTGGGTCAGACTGAATTGAGATGTGCGTGGTGTTTTCAGGCATGACAATTATCACAAAAATGTATAATTTAGTATACCATAAAATGTTAAGAGAAAAATGCTTTGTTCCCCTTGTCCTTGAGAACATTTATGACAATTTATGGCAATCTCTCATTAACTTACCCTATGCATTATTGCAATTAACTCCTTGCTACACAGTATAAATGAAGACCTGCTGGGGGAATGAGCAGCAAGACTTCTCCCCTCTCCCCTTTTGGGATCTCCACTCTCGCTGATGCCTTCCCACCTTAGGGCCCTGCCTGTCTCGCCTCCTGACACCTCAATAGTTGGGGCTGGTCCCCAACACTTGGAGATTTCAGGCACGAGGCTGATGCTCACTTAAGACTACAGCACAATGCACACACCGTTTGTGTGTGCACTAGGAAAGCAAAAACTTAACATGATTCTTTACTGCAATAGTCACTTTACTTGGGTGATCTGGAACCAAACCCGAAGTAAGTAGCCTGTGTAGCCGCTACAGGGAGAAATGAAGGGGACCGTCAGGGCCCTTGCACAGAACAAACAGTCTGGAAAGCCACCCTAATGGTGCTGGAGGGCCAGCGCGGGCCACTGGTTGTGTCCTTTAGCCATGCTAGGGAAAGGGCAGGCTGCTTGGAGACAGGAAAGCTTTTGTTGGGGTTGCCCTCAAGCACCCCATTGGGGCAACAGTCCCATGTGGCCTCTTAGCCTCCTCCACTTGGGAGCCAGCCCCCAGCCCCACTGCACTGCAGACACTGTGGTATCAGTGATCCTGCTCCTGGACATTCGCCGTCTCCTGTGTCTGCTTGCGCCACGCACCAGAGAGCCCAGAGTGCAGAGCAAAAAAACAAGGCGGGGCTTGCCCCAGGGTTGCTGCATCATCCTTTCACAGAACTGTGTTTACTCCCAGCAGCCCCACAGGCTCACACCCCCACCCCCCCAACTCCTGCTCTCCTGGAGGAGCCGCCTGCCAGGGCCCACCTCCCTGGGCTAGCCACCGCTGTGGAGGCAAGGACCTGCTGCAGGCTGGCCACAAACTACCCATCCAAAGTGGGGGACCACACTAAGAAGGCTTGGGGAATTGCATGCTGAAAGGCAGCTACTCAGGGATCAATGGGAATAAAATCATTCGCCATCACTGTCAAACCAATCAGCAAAAACATTGCAATACAAAAGCCTGAGCTCAGCACCCATTTGTGTTTTCATGGGCTGAGATGAAAGGAGCCTGTCATTGAACACTGAGGTTCGTCTGAGAGGACACGGGGAGATGGAGGCTGTATTTTATATGTTCCTGCAGATTATAGTGACCATCTATAGTGGCTGCAAAGCCATAGTGAGAATAATCAACTTATTTCAAAATGTCAATAATTCCCCTGCTTCCACCCTCACAGTTCATTCAAGGATACGCAGCATTTCATAAACAAGCTTCTTCACAACAGGGAAGAAACGATTAGCAGCTCAACTTCCAGACTATGGGATGGCAACAGCGCATTCAAGGATTTACCAATGTCAAGGTGCTCACCACCCTCAGGGTGCTCACCACCCTCCGCGCCCTCTGCTCTGCTGAAGCAGAGTATGCCCGCTCCTTGGTTCTTGGTTTTCCATCTCTAAATGTTATGGCTGTCTCATGGAAAGTAGCATCAAGCTATCGTGAAAACGAAGGGGTTCCCATTTTCTGCCAGGGGTGTTACAGGGAACAAAAGAGGAAATATTTGCAAATTGTAAACCTGAAAATGTTTCCTGTTACTGAATGGTGTCACCTTTAACCTCCCCGACCATCAGCTGCACTGCTGTCAACTCTGAGAACCTTCCTTCAAGAACAACAGACATCTGTGGAGTAAATGCTGCCAGCTTTTCTGACTGGGTGACATTCATGATGAAAACTGCTGCAGCTTGATCTTTGGAATGAAATCACCAGCCTCATTTTGCTGAAAAACACAGTTCTGGAACTGACCAGGAAACTCGGCTCCTACACGACCTCACCTCCTCAACAACACATTTAATTGGCTGCTCTGCCATCTTCTCCATAAATCCATCAGCAACAAGATGCTTTTCAGATTCATTTGCAACAATAATTCTGAGACCTCTTAGGGCCGTAAGACAGGAAAATGGGAAGAAAGAAATGAAAACATTTTACGTTTCCACCCAATAGCAGCACTGCACACAGCACTGTGAGAACCCCAACACGTGGGCAGGACCACAAACCCGCCGAAAAGGGGTTCCACCTGCTGGGTTGGTCTTGTCCAACACAGGCACGCTGCTTGTCCCCAGACAGTCACAACACACAGCCAATAGTATCCTCAGAGCCTACTGGGGTTCCGGTATGACAGGTTTTAAAAATATTTTGACTAAATGAACTGTCAGGGCACATATATAACTGCACTTAAAGTAGAAAAATGTAAATCTGGTGCTTTAGGAAGATTCAGTGACTTGCCTGATGGGAGCAGGGAGGGGAAGATAGGGGGAGGGAGGCTGTTGCTCACAGTCATAATTAGGGTACCCTGACGTAAACCTCGGTTTTGTAAAGACATGTATCTGAAGCAGGTGTTTTTTCTTTCTCTCTTCTTACTTCCAAGTTTCCCAGATAGTGATTCATTTGGGGGGGGAATTCCAGCTGAATGGCTCACTGCTGATCCACCTCACACAGCAAGACCTGTGACAAGTTCCAGGCTGTGTGACTTAATTCTCTGCTGCCTGCATGGACATCCCAGGACTCTATTGAACTTCTAGTGATGCAAAGACCCAGACTGGTGATATTTCAAAGTTTAGTCTTTTATGAGAACAATCACTCCAAGTGCAGAACTAGGGAGTCCATATGGGTGACATGGTGTTACTATGAGCAAGAACCCACTTATGTTTCTATCAAAATCAGAGTAATGATCTGACTTATCCTGTGAGGATATTATTATTTGCACCATAGAACATTTGAGCTACAGAAAGATGAATCACCTCTTCCAGGACAGATTTAAAATAAAGCAGGTAAAACACCCTAACTATGCCATTCACAAATTCACAGGATGACTCAGTGAAATATGCTATCATCTGACCATGGAAATCTAAGTTGACAGTCAACAAATGGCTCTCTGAAAAACAGACTACATGTTGCATCTCTTTTTCCTTTTTAATGTGTTAGGATGTATCCCCTGCAAATTTTTCTGTTTGGGAAGCACTGGTAGAAACTATGAAGGCAGAAACCCAAGATGTTCCCCAAGACCCCCACTCTGTCACCTGCATGGCCTGCAATCATATCCCAGGCTGTAACTGTGGTGGGTCTCACTCCATGGCTCACAGTAGCTTTAAGCAAGGGAGATTAGGGGACTCGTTGGTGGCACAATGAGTTAAAGCACAGCACTATGAAGCTATGTGCAGTTTCATCCCCAGTCAGGGAAATGACCCACATGGCGTGACAGACCTGTCTTGTTTGCTGCTCCCCACAGCAGTGTATTTCTGTCAGTCCACCTATTCTGCCCCGACTCTGTCTTTGGTGAATCCTCTCACCTCCCCGCCCCCCCATCCCACACACACCCCTCTGGCTTACACCCCAGGTCTTGTATGCATAAATAAATAAACATTTAAAAAAGAAGAAAGAAAGGGAGCTCGACTTGGTGGGATGGACCTAACAACATGAGCCTTTCAATCAGAAACAGAAAGTAGAGTGAGCTAAAGCATAACAGGAGAGAACTCCCATCGTGGAGGACAGAGGGCATGAGATAAGGGCCTGAGTGTGACCTGTGGGCATGGGTGACCACCAGCCAACAATAAGACAACAGGAGTCTCAATCCTCAAGGAACTGAATTCTGCCAAAAACCTGAATGAACTCAATCCCTGGATCCTCCAGAAGGGAACTCAGACGAGCTGCCATGCTGATTTCAGAAACCAGGAAAACAGGAGCAGAAGGCTAGCTTAGCCCTAAGGTGTAGGACACAGCGATAATAAATGAGTGTTGTCTTTCACCACTAATTTGTGGTAGCCTGTTGCAAAGCAACAGGAAATACATAAAGTATTGGTCACTAAGGCAAAAGGAAATACAGTGTTTAAAATACTCATTATGTTACATATTTACCTTATAGTAAGTCAAAATGAGTAGACAATACATAAAAGAAAGTTCTAGGTGAAATGCCTCTGAAAGCAGTTATTTACAACGCTAATCCACAAAGCAGAAAAATAAGCATAACTTTAAAACATACCTAATGGATTCTAGTACTACAGAAAATGCTAGGATTGCTTAATGCTGGCTGCACAGCCTACCAGCACAGCACAGTTTCACTTCCCTGGAGCCCAGAGTTCTGACCCTGCAAGACCAGGAACTGATGTTGCTTATGTGCCAACGAACCAACATTTCTCTTCCTTTTTGCAAAGTTGGATATTTCTTTGCATTTGTCAAGTTCAAATTCTTGAAAGAACTTGGGTCATTTTTCGGCTAGCATATTTAAAATACTGCTAAGGAATCATCTTGACTTTTGGTTTTTGAAAGCATAATTCCAGATTTGATAATGCTCCAAAATAATATGTGAAAAAGCTAAATCTATACTCAAACCATAACATATACTGCAACACTGAACCAGGTGACTTCCTACAAAAGTCATATTCAAAGAAACCTGTAAATCCCAATTAAATTCAAACTCTGGGCTTGGTGACGGCAATTTTTCTCTCAAACACTGACAAACTGACATCATTCTGACTTTTCACTGAGAACA